CCATTTTGCAGATGATCCACCTAAGTGAACATTAAAACAGCATAAAATATACATTGCAAAATTCATTGAGCTAACCTACTCAATTTTTGTGCATTGTTTACTAGAATTAATAATGGAGCTTAAATAAAAAACTAGAATTTGTAGATACTTGTGCTATTTTCCAAATGAGAATTTTTTTTCATTTGAGGGTAGACTATAGTGTAAAAAATTTCTAAATGCGAATCCCACTCAGACTTTTTGTTTCACAATATCACACATTTCTTCCCCTTCTTCTTCTTTCTCTTCCCAGCATCCTTTGAACCATCGTCCATCTTTCTTGATTTAATTTCTCTCATCAAATCAAAAAACACTTTGTCAACGTTTGCTCGAGTTTTTGCTGAAGTTTCCACATAAGGTACTTTCCATTCCTGAGCTTTTTCAAGCGCCTCCTCGCTTGTAACTTGGCGTTTGTCTGTTAAATCTGCTTTGTTTCCCACTAAAAGGAATGGTATGCTATCGTTCCCTGATTTTACTCGGAGAATTTGTTCTCGAAATTCTGTGGTGGCAGCAAATGATTCTTGCTCGGTTATTGAGAAGACACAAAGAAATCCTTCACCGCTTCGAAAGTAGTTGTCTCGAATTGCAGCATAGTCCTCTTGTCCTGCGGTATCTAAAATATCAATTTGACATTCATCTCCGTCTAAGATCACCTTTTTACGATAGCTGTCTGCCTTTGTTGGTTCGTAGTCCTCTACAAACTAGAAATATAGGCATAAGTTAAACATATAATCACTGCCATAGTCTTGCTTTAGAATTTTGGGGTTGGGTTGATTCCAGGTCAAACTGCAACTTATAACTTGCATCACTTTAACACCCTTCAAAAGCTAAATAGAACATTTAAAAACTACAGATTTCAGGATAAAAGCTACACAAATTTTGTTTTTGTTACATTTGGCAAAACAGATGAATTCAATTCATATAGGTTGTTACTTAAGTTACCTCTTCGTACATGAACTGCAAAGTCAAGGCCGATTTACCAACGCCACCACTCCCAACCATTATAACTTTATGAAGACCTAACTGTTTTTCTTTCGTCTTTGACATGTTGGAAAGACTGCTCGGCACCTCAAATCTTAAAATTCGAAGGTTATATTGCAGTATTTTCCCACTTTTGTACCCTGTCAGAGCGAAGAAACCAACTCTTGGTCAACAAGCAACCGCCCCTTTCCCTTCCTGTCGTGACGTCACTAGTACCATGCTCCCTACAATGCATCATATATCACAGCCCAACCTCTTCCCCAAAAGGATTATTATCATCATATTGCCAATCATTTCGAAAGGATTATATTAATCAAAATATGTAACCAGGCCAGGTCACTCCGATGCACTCGGGAAAACAAGATGGCGGACAAGGAAKGTATGTCAGTAGGTGCATTGAATGTCAGCTCATCTATAAGCTTATTGAAGTTTAAGAGAAACCTCAATGTCTCACTTGATAGAATTAGAAATATAGCATTAAGATTTTAGAATTCTTTCGACTATTTGAGAAAAATGCGTAAGCTTTATTATGGGCTAAATGCGGAGTCAGATCAAAATTATAAGTTACTAAGCTTATATTAATTAATACTTTATATGCGAATTTTGAATGATTAAAATGGCAGCAAATCCTGACTAATTAAACACTGAGCGCTTATATAGTGTGAATTTCGTTTTCTTTTGTCCAAATCTACAAATTAAGCTACTCCGCGTCCTTTTTTAAGGACCTTTAAGGTTGGGGTACGGTTTTTGCACACTATTAAGTTATAGGGAGTTATGAAATTATTTATTTGGGGTGGGGGCAGAGCCACATGTTTTCGGATGTTTGTGGGATTGAATTTTTGATTTGAGCTTTAGGGGAGGGTCACAAATTTTGGACTGAAGGAAAATAAATAAAAATAAGGCTTCTTGTGTGAAGTGGAGATTTTTCAGAATTTTTTTGTCGGCCATTTGGGCCATGTAGGAAATTTAATAGAGCATGAGTACACTGCTTCGTACAAGAAGATACGGCAGAACAGCTACAACATTTTGGAAAACGTATGAGTACAGTGGGAGCAGTTCGCTGACTCCACAGAAAATGGTTAAAATYGATTCAATCAGTATTCATACGAATTACACCAAACAAATCACTTATCAAAAATGATTGTTTTGCACAAATGTTATACGATAAAAAGAACTTAAAAGGAGTATTCGGGCAGTATTTTCTATTTTTTCTATTTTTTAAGATCTTTTCAAATGCCCTTTATAAAAACCTTTCATTTCCAGGGCTTTTCGAAGAGTACAATGATTCCTGAATAAAATGTGCCAGTTGTTTACTCAACAAAAAGTTATTTTAATATATTTTTAATTGGAAAATATAGACTAATAAAATATATTTTGGGGGAGGGTCATAATTTGTTTGTACCCGATTGAAGGAATGGCCACATTTTTTTCTTTGTCTGACAAGGGAGGGCCTCTATTTTCTCAACAGGGCTCGATGCAAATTTAGTAGCCTTCACCCCCAGTAAATAATGATAACTCCCTTAGGTTATACTGACTAGATGCTTTGTTACCGCAACTTCCTANTTAGCAAAACAATGCAGCTTTTATACCACGACAACAACATTCTCTCTTGGATGTGGGATCCAGACAAATACATCTCTTTGTTTCTGTAGTGCATGCGCACTCATCCATGCCAAGCATAGTATTCAAAAGGAATTCGAAAACAAAATACCTCATTAACATATGGCATTCAAAAACAATCAAGACTTTCTGATTTTTATCTTTAAAAAAGCCGGATAGTATCATATGTGATTGCCAAGTCATCAGTCTTAATTTAAGAAAAGTAATTGATTCGAATAGCTCACAACAGTATCTTTATTTCGCTCTTGTTTAATCAACTGCAGAAAATCAAAATGTTTTTTTTGCGTTTTTTAGAACAACCGCAAAAGACTGAAAAGAATGTTCTGATCTGAATACTAGGTTCACTTTTATACCAATAGTTACCATTATTACGATGAAACATGAAGAGTAGGTTTTAAAAGGTAATCAATGATACGACTAGTACTTTTATGCTACACTGAAAAAGCGCATTATTAAAACGTTTTCGACTGCATACGCATCACCTTTTGAAATTGAAATGATTCGGTGTTTTTAAGGGCATTTACTGTAATAGTAAATGCTCGTAAATGTAGTACTATATTTAGTTCACTTTCACGGCATTTAATGAATCCTTAAATTCACTAGTAGATTTAATGAATTTAAAAACATAGGAAAGTTACTTAAATATAGTAGTAACT